ATATGATATTTGATTCTCTTTCTGACATACTTCACTCTGTATGACAGATCTCAGTACATACACATCACTACAAATGACCCAGTTTAGTTCCTTTTATCTCTGAATCATGTTCCATTGTATATGTATGTCCCACATCTTATCCATTTATGTGTGGGCGGGCATGGAGTTGTTTCCATGTCCTGGCTGTTGTAAATAGTGCTGCAGTGAACATGTGGTGGTGTGTCTTTTTGAATTTTGGTTTTATGTTTATACCCAGCGGTGTGATTGCTGGGCTGTATGATAGTTCTTTTTTTTTGGTGAATAATGGTGATCAGAATGTTTGGTTTACATTGTTGTGTTAGTTTCCGCTATACAGCACTGTGAGTGAGTTGTAAGTGTACACACATACCCTCCGTCTCCAGCCTCCCTCCCACGCTGCCCTTTCCCCATCCTGCCCCTCTGGGTCACCACAGAACACGAGCTGAGCTCTCTGCGCACGGCAGCCTCTTACTAGCTGCGTGGTTTACATCCAGAGGTGTATATATGGCACCACTCTTCCCGACTCATCCCACCCTCCTCTTCGCCCGCTTTTTCTCTACTTCTGCTTATCTGTTTTTGCTTTGTAAATCAGTGCATCTGTACCATTTTTCTAGATTCCATGTGTTACTATACTGTATTTTTCTGACTAAAGTCACTCTGTATGATAGACTCTAAGTCCGTACCACTAGAAATGACCCAGTTAAATATTTTTTATGCTGAGCAATGTTACTCATCTCACCCTCCCCTTTCCCTGTGTTCACATGTCTTCTGTACGTTTGCTTCTCTATTCCTGTCCAAACAAGTTCATTTGTACCATTTTTCTGGATTCCATATATGTATGTTACGATATGATGTTTTTCTGATTTATTGCTGTGTGACACTCTAGTCCATGCAGATTTACTACAGATGGCCCAAGTTCATTCTGTTTTATGGTTCAGTGGTATCCCTTTGTATACATGTGCCAGGTCTTCTTTATCCAGAGGTTGCTTCCATCTCCTGGCTGTTGTAAATAGTGCTAAAAAGAACACTTAGATGGGTGTTTAATGTTGATTATGGTTTTTCAGAGTATATACCCAGTAGTGCAACATCTGGGTTATATGTTAGTTGCATTTGTCATGTTTTTCAAGATTACCGATCTTTTATTTTTTTAATTCATTTTTATTTGAAGTTGCTTTACAGTGTTGTTAGCTCTTCTGTCCAACAAAGTGACTCCCCTATAATTATATACAGCCCTCCCTTTGTGCCCCCGTCCCCCCACCCGTCCCCCGGGTCATCGCGGAGCCCTGAGCCGAGCTTCCTGTGCTGTGCGGGAACTTTCTGGTAGCTGTTTACACATGGCAGTGTGTATGTGACAGTGCTGTTCTCACAGTTGGCCCCATCCTCCTTTTCTCTTGTGTCCACATGTCTGTTCTCTGCTTCTGCGTCTGTTTTTGCCCTGCAAATAGGTTCATCTGTATCAGTTTTCAGATTCCATGTATATGTGTTAATATATGACATCTGATTTTCTTTTACTTCACTCTGTAAGACAGACTCTAGGCCCATCCTATCACCGCAGATAGCACAATTTCATTGCTTTTATTGTTAAAAATAGTCTATCGTTTCCAACTATTCCAAATTTTCAACATCTTATCTATGGATGGACATTTAGGTACATCCCACGTCTTGGCTTTTGTAAATGGTGCTGCAGTGAACACTGGGGTGCATGTGTCTTCTTGATTTATTGTTTTCTCAGGGTATATCCCTAATAAGGGGATTTCTGAATCATATATTTCTATTTTTAGTTTTTTTTCATGATAAATGATCTTTTAAAGTTTATTTTTAATTGGAATATATATGCTTTACAATATTGTAAAGCTGACCCAGAAGGAGAATCATCTGTATGTGTACACATATCCCTTTTTGAGACTCCCACCCCAGTCCCACCCCCCAGGTCACCACAGCACTGTGCTGAGCTCCGCACCGCACGGCAGCTTCCCGCCAGCGCTTTTACACGTGGCGTTGTGTGTGTCAATACTGCCTCCAGTCTGTCCCCCTGCTCCTTCCCTGTGTCCACACATCCATTCTCTGCTTCTGTGCCTCTATTTTTACCTTATAAGTAGGTTCACCTGTACCATTGTTCTCGATTCCATGTATATGTGCTAAGATATGATACTCACTTTTCTCTTTCCTACTTACATCACTCTGACGCTCCAGTTCCATCCATGTCACTACAAATGACTCAATCTTGTCCACTTTATTAGTGAGTAATATTCCTTTGTATATATGTACCACATTGTCTTACCCATTCATCTTTGGATGGACATTTAGGTTGCTTCCATGTCCTGGATATTTTAGTGGTGCGGCAGTGAGCTATGGGGTTGCTTGTGTCTTGTTGAATTATGGTTGCTCAGATTACATTCCCAGTGGGATTGCTGGGTTGTGCGGTAGTACCATGTTTAATTTTTTTCTTTATTACGGACCATTTTATAATTTTTTTTAATTGAACTATAATTGCTTTTCAATATTGTGTTTCTGCTGTCCAACAGAGTGAATCAGCTGTATGTATACATATATCCTCTCCCTTGATGCCTCCCGGCGACCACCACCCCATCTGCCCCCCCGCCAGTCATCACAGAGCACCAGACAAGCTCCGCGCCTCGCAGCTTCCCATAGCTCACTGTTCACACAACGGTTTTGTGGGGCAGCATTACGCTCCCAGTTCATCTCAGCCTCCTCTCTCCCCATGTCCACACGTCCCTTCTCTCCTGCAACTGTCACATCCTGCATGTAGGTTCTTATGTACCATTTTTCTAGATTCTATGCATGTGTTAATATACCATATTTGATTCTCTGACATACTTCACTCTGTATGACAGATTCTTAGTACATCCATCCACATCACTACAAATGACCCAGTTTATCACTGAATGATATTCCATTGTATGTAAGGACCACATCTTATTATCCATTCATCTGTGGATAAAAATCTAGTTGCTCCCATGTCCTGGCTGTTGTAAATAGTGCTGCAGTGAACAGTGGGGTATGTGTGTTTTTGAACTGTGGTTTTCTCTAGGTGATGATGTGGGATCTGTCCTGTATTGTGATTGCTGGGTCACATGGTAGTTTTTTCTCCCCCATAGATAATGGTGATCAGAGAATATTTTACATTGTTGTTAGTTTCTGCTGTACAGCACTGTGAATGAGTTGTAAGTATACATGTATCCTCTCCCTCTCCAGCCTCCCTCCCATGCGCACCTTTCCCCATCACCCCTCTGGGCCACTGCAGAACATGAGCTGAGCTGTCTGTACTGCAGCTGCTTCCTAGCTGTGTATTTTACACATGCCAGTATATATTAGCAATTCTGCTCTCTCAGTTCACCCCACCCTCCTCTGCGCCTGTGTCCACCTGTCGTTCTCTACTTCTGCTTATCTGTTTCTGCCCTGGAAGTCAGTTCATCTGTACCATTTTTCCAGATTCCATATTTTATGTCTTCGTAAAGAGTTCGTAAAGAGTCCGCCTTCAATGAAGGAGACCTGGATTCAGTCCCCGGGTCAGGAAGATCCCCTGAAGGAAATGACAACCCACTCCAGTACTCTTGCCTGGAGAATTCCACGGACAGAGGAGCCTGGTGGGCTGCAGTCCATGGGGTCCCAGAGCCAGATACGATTGAGTGACTAGCACTTTTACTAGAAATAGCCCAGTTTTGTTCCTTTTTATGGCTGAGTTATGTTATTCATCCCATCCTCCCCTCTCCCTGCGTCCACATGTCTTTTCTGCATGTCTGCTTTTCTATTCCTGTCCTGCAAATTGCTTCATCTGTACCATTTTTCTAGATTTCATGTATGTTATTTTTCTGATCATTGCTGTGTGACACTATAGTCTATCCACATTTACTAAAATGACCCACATTCGTTCTTTTTTATGGTTCAGTGATATTCCATTGTATACACGTACCACATCTTCTTTATCCATAGGTTGTTTCTAGCTCCTGGCTATTTATTGTAAATAGTACTGCCATGAACATTTGAGTGGGTTTTTCTTGTTGATTACAGTTTTCTCAGGGTATATACCCAGAATTAGGATTGCTGGGTTACACATCTAATTGTTTTCAAGATTACTGATCTTCTGTTTTAAAATTCATTTTTATTTGGAGTATAATTGCTTTACAGTGTTGTTAGCTCCTGTGTCCAACAAAGTGACTGCCCCATGTGTGTACATGTAGCCCCTCCCACCACCATTTCCCCTATCCCACGCCTCTAGGACATCAGAAAACACCAAACTCTGCTCCCCATGCTGTGTGGCTGCTTCCTGCTAGCTGTCTGTTCACACATGGCAGTTTGTATATGGCGGTGCTACTGTCCCAATCCGTTTTAGCCTTCTGTTTCCTCTCTACATCTGCTGCTTTATCCTTGCCCTGCAAATAGGCTCATCTGTACCTTTTTAAAATATTAACGTTAATACATGATGTTTTTCTCTTCCTGTTTTCACTCTTATTAACAGACTCTGGGTTCATCCACATCACTACAAATGACCCAGTTTCATTCCTTTTTATGGCTGAGTAATATTCTGTTGTATATATGTACTGCATCTCATTCATTTGTCTGTGGGTGGACATACAGGTTGCTTTCATCTCCTGGGTATTGTAAATAGGGCTTTATTAAATATGGGGTGCATATGAATAGCCTGAGCCCTGAAACAGGAAGAGCATCTGTCTCCCCTGAGGGTGAAGGGAAGCTGTGATGGACAGAAGGAAGCTGGTGAGAACTGGATATTGAATTTAGGCTTGTCTACCTCAGGCACTTGGATTGCCTGTCACAATGGTTTGGGCTTCAGGAGAGAGCTGCAGGATGTGGGTAGGATTTAAGGGGGGAGCTGTTATTAAGGGGTTTGGCATAGCTGTGAGGAATGAATAAGCATGTTCCCAAATAAGTCCAAGACTCCTCAGTAAGAACAGACTTCCCCCAACCTCTTCCCCTTTAACATGTGACCTGGCTTTTTACAGTACAAACACCTGAAATGTAAAAGTGAGCCTCACGTAAAGATCGAAGGGCAGGACACTGATGACTGGCTCTGTGTGGACTTCGGTAAGTTACTTTAGCACATTCTACAGGTAAATAATTGATAATGCACTAATCGCAAACTGTGTTCAGTTGTAAAAGGATCAAGGTCTGGATGTTTTTCCGCAAAGTTTTTGATAGTTGTTTGAAGTTTTCTTTGGTTTTTAACCCACTCACTCGGTCTTTTTCACATCTGAAATCCTCATCTCACCTAGTGTGTATTAAGTAGCCACACAGGTTAGAAAGCTGATGGAGAACAGGATGAATAACATCGGAGAGATCCCCAGTGGCGGTAGAAGGCTCCTTGGTGTAACTCCCATAAGTTGAAGGGCGTCCTAGACACAGGGAATGATAAGAAAAGCAGACTGGAATTCTGAGAAGACCTAACAGATTTGAGAATTAATATATACATAGTTTCAAAGTAACTCCCCAGAATGTACTTAATACAAAGGTAAAACCATACAAAGGTAAAACCAGTACCTGTAGAACTGTGCAGGCTCTGAAATCTTATCTTGTGAGCTGAAAGAGTTATTCAGGGGTTGATAAAACAGTTTGCTCCTCAGCAAGAGCAGCAGCAACATCAAGCAGCATTTTTGTACCAGGTTCCCCGAACAGCACAGCACCGGATGGCACCTGCACACGGAGTTGAGAGATGAACCCCGAGATTAGTGCGCCCATATCTTTTGTGTGGGCAGGAAGCAGGCCTGCAGTTACTCTGGGAGAAAACATCAGGGTTTCTCAGCCATGTCACTGTTAGCACTTTGGGCGGGGAGGATTACTCTGTGCGTTGTAGGAGGTTTGGCAGCACCCTTTCTCCTCTCTGCACCTTGTAAAGGTGACAATTAAAAATGTCCTGACGGATGCTCACTATTAGAGGGATGCAGCTCAAAACTACAATGAGCTGTCACCTCACACAGGTCAGAATGGCCATCAAAAAGTCTACGAACAATAAATGCTGGAGAAGGTGTAGAGAAAAGGGACTGCTTTTGCTCTGTTGTTGGGAATGTAAATTGATACAGCCACTATGGAAGATGGTATGGAGATTCCTTAAAAAACTAGGAAAGGAATAAAACCACCATATGACCCAGCAATCCGACTCCTAAGCATATACCCTAAGGAAGCCAAAATTAAAAAGACACATGTTTCCTATTGTTCATTGCAGCACCATTTATAATAGCTAGAACATGGAAGCAGCCTAGATGTCCATCAACAGATGAAAGGATAAAGAAATTGTGATACATACACACAGTGAAGTATTAGCCATAAAAAAGAACGCCTTAAAGTCAGTTCTAATGAGGTGGATGAACCTAGAACCTACTATACAGAGTGAAGTGAGCCGGAATGAGAAAGATAAATATCGTATTCTAATGCATATATATGGAATCTAGGAAAATGGTACTGAAGAATTTACTTCCAGGGCAGCAGTGGAGAGACAGACATAGAGAATGGACTTGTGGACATGGGGAGAGGGGAGGAGAGGGCAAGAGGTACGGAAAGAGTAACATGGAAACTTACATTACCACACTTAAAATAGATAGCCGTGGGAATTTGCTGCATGGCTCAGGAAACTCAAACGAGCTCTGTTTCAACCTAGAGGGGTGGGGTGGGGTGGGGCGGGGGACCGTAGGGAAGTTAAAAAGGGAGGGGATATATGTATACCTATGGCTGAGTCATGTTGAAGTTTGACAGAAAACAAAATTCTGTAAAGCAATTACCCTTCAATAAAAAAATAGGTGAAATTAAATAAATAAATAAATAAATGTCCCTGATTGAGAGCCACTGTTGTAAGCAAACTTTCTCTTTGTTCCGGAAGGAGACAGTATTTCTAAGAATATTTGCCAGCATCCTTAAAAGTACAGTCCAGGATAAAACTCTGCCGTTTTGCTCACAGGCTGTGCAGAATTACAGTACTTTTGGATTGTCTACCAGGAGAAACCTGATAGACCCCACCTCTGGTTGTGTAGGTTATCCACAAGCAGTGTTACATACTGACGTTACATAGCATGTGTCTGATGCACTGAGAGAAGTGCAGCATCACTTCTGCAGTATTTTTGCTAGATGGTGTCCACAATTTACATTTCTAGTAAGTTCTCAGGTAACGCTGATCTGGGGTTCACACTTTGAGAACCACTGCTCTGTCACAGATTTGTGACAGTTTCACAGAAGGATGAAAGTAAATGAACTGCTTCTTCACTTGTGATTTTTATCTGTCCTCGGTAGGCAGCATGGTGATTCATTTGATGCTTCCAGAAACCAGAGAAACCTATGAATTAGAAAAATTATGGACCCTACGTTCTTACGATGACCAGTTAGCTCAGATAGCACCTGAGACCTTACCTGAAGACTTCATTCTTGGAATAGAAGATGACACTTCATCTCTGACTCCTGTGGAGTTTAAATATGAATAAAATGAACTGCTTTAGTCATTTCAAATTTGGATTGAGTCACTTCTTTTAACCTAGTTGGTTGTTATGAAAACAGGTATTCTCTTTGGATTCTAATCCTGACACATGGAAATTGTAGGTAAGTGAGCTCATTTTCATACCATGGATCATTACATTCAAATTAAATACATTGTCGTTACTTTTGAGACTCCAGCAGGTCGCCTAGAAGTTGCATTGGCCCCTGTGTTTCACTTGTACTGTCTGCTCAGAGTAATCTTACGTTTAAATCTTATTCTATAGAATAGTAATAGCCAAAATTTTTTTAAAAAGCAGAAAACAAAACCCCACCCCACAGGTCCTGTAACTTACCTTTTCATTCTCAGTTCATATGCAACAGTATTATTATCAAGGTTCACAGTAAAGCCAGTAGTAGATACTGGTGCCTACCTTGAGATTGTCATGGATTTTTAGCAATACGAAGTTTATATTTTGATGAAATTCAGGACATTCAGAGTAATCTGAAAAGCCAAAAATAAAACATACCACACACCAAGGCTGCACCTAATAATGAAGTACTTTATTCTGCATCAAGGTATCTGGAAAATGGAGCCGCATTTGGGGCACATTACAGATGAGGAATGATCCATATGTGGTGAGTACAAAACTCAATTACAGAATTACTTCCTAGTATTACCAGATACTCCATTACCAATACTTCATTCAAAGTAAAACATGATTTGTCACACTAGAAGGCTAGAAATGAAATATGACAGAATTTAAACAGGCAGATATAAATGTAGCACCTATCTGTATTAAAAAAAAAAAAGCTTGAAAAATCAAATACTGAGGAAAAGCTCTGGCCTTAAGCCCATTTTACCCAAAATCCAACCAGAAAGCCAATCCATTACTTTTTTTAAGCAATTCATTGTATAGAAAAAAAAAAAAGCTTGATGAATTCCATGACAAAAAGGGCACTTTTTGGCTAAAACTACAAAATAAACTGGTTTTCTGAAAACATTTAGAAAAACATTTCAAGTCATTTTCAAAATGTTTAATTGATAGATACAGTGATCTTCAGAAGAACTTACCTAGTCTGTGTAGAAATTCATCTTGAAATACAAATGAAGCAAAATGATACTTTAAGGGTTATATCTGCCCTTCAGATCAGTATTATATGATGACTGTGATTATTTAATGAACAAAAGCAACACAATTCTGAGAGCAGTGTGGCCTCGGAGACCACTCACACCCATCTAATTGTACATACCAGGCTTTGCCATCAAGTTAAGGAATGGGTGAATGCATTCAGTAGCAAAGGTCAAATGTATTATCACAGTCATTGAAATTATATTTCCAAAGTTCTTTTCTTTTTCTACCTTTTGACTTATTTTCAGATAACTGGTTGCAGAGAATACAGAAATCCTCCTACATTGTATGTAATATTTTAGGTGGCCTTTCATTTATCTTGATTTATCATTGCTTAAAATCTTCAAAACAGCTTACTTTGAGGCTCACGACAGTGCCTGGCACATGGAGATGTAGCCTTTTTATTGCCTTTAAACACTGTCACACCATCTGACTGCCCCACTGGTCTTCACAAAGCAAATCTTTTGGGGTCTGCTCCAAGCATAGACCAACTGGTCTGAAGTGTATTGGCAAACTAAGCATCCTGTAAGGCAAGCTAAAGCTTTCTTCTGCCAGTCAGTTAAGTTCACGTTGGCTGCATGTCTCCATAGATACACTTACTTTAGGTAGTGATAGTCAAAAGCACAAAGCATTTATGCATTCAATCACATAGCCAAACAGAAAAACTGAAGTCTCCTGAAGCCATTTAAAACTAGTCGTTCCAAAACCTCCTGCAACCACTTTGCTCTGTTAGTACCATCAAAAACTTCCCTACCACAAACAAAAGGTATTTGCTGCTCTCCAAATATAGGCACTGCTCCGTATCACTGAACATTTATTGGATTTTCCAACTAATAACTGTCATAAGCCTCAAAAAATGTGAAATTTTTCCAGCTTTACTGTCACCAGCCAGAAGTAAAATTTTTCAGTTATTTGCCTGTTAGCTAATTAAATTTATTTTTTAAAAAACAGTTGGACTTATCTTTATAAAGTATATAAAATTTTCAGAAAAAAAAAACAAAACAATTTTGCTTTCATTGCATTACTGAGTACCTGAGGTAGTTGAGTAAAAATGCACGTTTAATACCCCTGCCAACACCATTCAGCACTTCCCTTAGGTTATTTGTGTTAGTGTTAAACTGAGAACAGTCTTTCTATGCTAATAGGTTAACATTTAAGTACTTGTAATAATTCTGTTCTGATCCAATTTTAACAATTGGACTTAGGAGCAATCTAGTTTTATTTGATGAGTTTCATGAATGCACCATTTAAACTGATTTCTGGCATCATGGGGGAAATGAATATTTTAAAAAATTAGATATTTGTTATACTGAGAAATGCAACAAAAGGGAAGTGCAGAGTTCGTCTCTTTCCCTCCCTCCCCCCTCATTTTTTTCTTTTTTCTTTTTTTTTTTTAAAGCTGGGTGTCATACATTTCAGAGAGCATAAAGTATACATTCTCACAGAGACAGGAGTTCGAAAGTTGCCTGGTCCTCAGAAACAACTGGCTAGGTAAAAACTTGTGCATGTGATGCTGGGTAAGGGGTCAGCGCCCGGCTGTTGGTTAAGCAGTCTGTCTTTGGTTTGGCGTCTGCCTCTGTGGTGGGCTGTTTCCTGAGCCTTCACTTCCGCCTTGACTGAGATGGTCCACTTTGCAGAGCTTTCTGCTGTTGGTGCTGCTTTACCTGAGTCAGAATTTCCTGAATTTTTCTCTGGGCAACCTGCAAAAGGAGAGGGCCTTGAAATTTCTACCTGATCAAATATTATAGGAAGTTATTTTACCTCTTCCATTTTTTAAATTAACTTCAAATTAAAATTTATTTGAAGATTAAATATACGTACTAATTAGTTTGCTAGCAGAGTCTCTAAAACCACCTGCTGAAAGGGGGATTTAACGTATTAAGCATCAAACACAGCCTTGAATATTTATATGATGTGGAGACCCCCCATGGGAGAATGGCTTCCATTTGCAAAGGCAGCAGCAGCGCTGCCCTGATACACTGGAGCCCACTTGCCTGGCAAGCATAGAAGTGACCAGTTATTTTGACGACCACCTGGTCATTCTCATCAGGAGTCTGGTCACGGGGAACAACAACTTCTGCACTTGACAAATTCTGGAGCTCATTCACCTGAAGGAGATAAACAGAAATCATGTTAAGTGGAACTGTTGGGGTTTTTTTATTTTTTAAAAAATTACCATTGCCTGAACACTTGTACCAAAATATTCAGCTATGTCTTTGTAAATCTCATCTAATATACTAATAATTCTGTTTGGTTATTAGTATTGTCCCATTTCACGATAATTAAAACTAAGCCCCAAAGAAACTGACTTACCTACAGTTACATAAATTAATGACAAAGCCAAATTCAAACCCTAAAAATCTGATTCCAAAAATAATTGCAGTCACTTCCAAGTCATTTTCAAAGCTGTTTACAATTTTGAAGTTATATATGTTAAAGAGAAACTGGAAACCAGTTTTCAGTTATAGAGGTGTAAGTTATAAAGGTAGATGAAACTTTTTAAAGTTTTCTTTTCATGTCATTAAGTATTTTTGCACAATAGAAATAAAAAGCTGATGTTTAAAAAAAATAAATTAAAAAAATAAATAAATAAAAGCTGATGTTTATCAACAGAAAAATGCAAAAGGCCCCTCATGAGACAGTCCTCTCCCACAAAGTGGTCTGAAAGAGAGGCACTGCTTTCACCAGGAGCTGACACCCAACACTCAGGAGGAACAAAGGGCAGTCTTCTCCAAACCTTGGCCCAGATGTCCTGCTTTTATAAGTTAGCCAAAATTCAGGGACTTGGAACTCCTAAGTACCTTTCAGTGCTTTCCCTTTCATACCACTGCACAGGTTTTGCTGAAGTACTTGCCGTTTTGCCTCCTTTTCCAATAACTCTGCCAGCAGCAAAGGACGGCACTCTGATGTGAGCTTCAAGTTTCACCTCTTCTTTAGGACTAACAAAATTTTCTTCTTTAATTTTTCCATAAATTCTTCCCTGAGCCTACAGATGAGAACATAGCCTATCAGTGTCATTCATGTAGGAAAGGCCAAAAGGTTCCTTAATTTTACAGTGGGTAAAATGAATGGCCTGGACCCATTGGAGCAGCCCTTTGCAGTGATACATCTGCACCTGATGGTGGAACACTGCCCAAGAGATGGCAGGAAGCCCTAGAAAAGGTTGATAACAGTGGTGGCTACATCACAGATGAGGCAGCTGAATGAATGACCATTTGCTCTCCAGTCTTGAAAGGTGAAACTCTCCTGCTGGCAATAAGATAGTAACTGCATTTTTCTTGAGTAACAGAGACTGAATGACCTCCAGAGCCACCTACATGAGGCTCACAAGAAGCCAAGCTCATGTCTAAATGGGCCAGCAAGGAATATTTTCTGTCAAACATTTCATGAGCCAGATGGTTTCTATTTTGACTGAAGCTACAAAATCAAGTTAACATATACAACTGATATAGTCAAACATATCCTGTCAATTGCTGCATACAACCAGAAATTATACATAGTAAATCTCCTATTATGTATAACCACAAATTTGCTCTGGTATACACCAAAGGAAAAAGAAACCAGAGTTGGTTTCATCCAATAGGCTGCCACAGCAGAGAGCAAAAACACAGGTACAAAACATGTTTTCATCGGTGCAGAGGTAAGCTCATTCTAGGGGGTTACAGACATTTAAAAAACTCATCTTAGTACCTTATATTTCAGTCATCCTCAAAGTCTCAGGCCACAGGTATAATTATTAACACAGCCGAAGGACACAAAGGATATATATTGTCCTCCAAAACAGTATTTCTTATGATTTTATTTTTTTCATTTATTTTTATTAGTTGGAGGCTAATTACTTTACAATATTGTAGTGGTTCTTGCCATACACTGACATGAATCAGCCATGGATTTACTTTCTTACGATTTTAAAAGCTTAGTTTCTAATATTTAGATCTGTTTCTAATACTTAGATCTCTAAAATAATTTGTAATTATCACTGATCACATAACTGATATTGAAGCATTAGAGCTTTTCTTACATGTCCCATTTAAGACAAGTGCACAACATGGGCAATGGAGGGTATAGAGAAACAACTTCTGAATTTCCCAGCATACAAGCATTATAAAAATTACAAGATCCATTTATAAAACAGTAAGAAGATAACTGATGTTTGTATTCATCTTTTAATATTTCAGGCTAAAAGTAGCTGGTCCTGTAAGTATCTGGGGGAGGATGTAGTTTTCAGCATTTCTGAGTTTTGATCTGAACTGCTGGGACCACAGGCTGGTATGAAGAAGTAAATTTCTTGACCTGAGTCTGAGCCTAGCCAACTGTACCTACATCTCAAAGCACCTCCTTTTGTTTCCTGTACCCTGTAAATGAAAAAAGTTGCAGATTTTTAGTGAAAAATGGCCCATGGAAAAAGAGAGGTGAAAGTGATGGTTTAGAGCTAGGAGAACTAAGGCTTAAAGAGTTGTTCTGTTAACACAGCTGCTGAGTAGTAGCGGCAGGACACGGGTTTCGGGTAAATTGCCCTGAATTGAGCAGCTGCTCTTACCTGGGACAAACCAGACGCCCTAATTGAGTTCTGTGGAAGAAATCATATACTCAAAGGTATGTATGTATTGTGAATTTGAGGATCTGGCATGGTCTTAGCCTGATTCATCCCACGTCTGCTTACCACCCCTGGCGCATTTATACTGTTTCCTGTGTGTCCAACACTATCTTAACCACTTGACTTATTAAACCATATAACCTTGTTTAAACTTTGTGGATGTTTTTAACCCCAATTTTACTGATGAGGAGCTAGCTAGGAAAAGGTTAAATAACTTGCCCAAGGTCATATCACTAGTAAATGGCAGAGCTGGTACTTGAACCAGCAGCCTGGCTGCGAAGGCTCTGGTCTTCATCCCCCTACTGCACCACCTCTCAGGACAGAGTGGGAGGCATTCTGACCCCAAGCCCCCCAAAATGACTGATGGTTCATACCAGGACAGATCCCTCAAGAGTCCCTGCCCTTTCTACCTCTAAAATTCTGAAGATTAGAGTGACTAATAGAGAAACTGTGGACCAGGGAGTTAACTGGAGTTAACCCAAGGGTAAGAGGAAAAAGGAACATTTGAAGTCAAGGTCGAAGATTCTTAGGGACAGGAGGAAAAATCTGAGAGTAACAAAGCATACAAACCATTCTTACCACCTCACCTTCACCTGTGCAAACAAGGCACTGAGCAAATTCTCCCTTGGGAGATAGGCAAACCCAACGACCATTACAGAACTCTCACACAAAGGTTTTGGTTTATTTTAAAAATGTAATGTGGGGAATGTTTCTACTCTGTTCTCAGTCTTAGCAATTTTTACTGAGAGATTCCTTCTACTGAGTACTGGATTTATTTAAGGGAGAAGCCAGGTTATAGAGTTTCTGAAAAGAAGGCATTCATCTGTCATCTGTGCACACACTCCAGGGCACATACCTTGAACTGAGCCTCCGGTGGCCCGGTGATAATCACCATCCTCACTTTAGCATCTGGTGCTTCTGCTGGAGCAATCTGTAACAGAGCAGAAATGGTCACAACACTTTCCAGTTCCACTGATAGAAAATGTTACACAAACCAGCCTGTCTTTTGCACATGACTTACTGAAATGTAGAAAATAAGCCTTCTGGAAGAAAGTTACAGAGAGGCAGTGATGAGTGTGGGTCCATTAGTTATGGCTCCTGCCACATCCTGTATGCTTACACTACACCTGGCCCACTTCACCAACAGGGAGACCAAAGGCTAGAAAGTCACCTGGCCCCTGACCACACAGGCTGGTGGAGCTGGAGGAGGAGCTGTGTCTGGCTCCACCACCGTGTTGCTCCTCACTGCACCACTGGGCGCTCAACGTGTGGTCCTTGGTCCCACACGCAGCATCACACCCTGGGCTTCCCACATGTGCAGGAAACTGCTTGGGTCACAAATCTGCAACGTCATGTGTATACATACGTGGTACTGATGTCCCCCCAAAGTACACTCCCTGGAGTAACACATAGAGTAAACATTAATCTGACAGAAGAGTGAACTCGGACTTCTATTTTGGCAGAGCGTATGAAATCACATAAAAGGCCAGGCCAGGGATACGCTGCAAGACTGTTGAAGGGGAAAAAAAGCCAGCATTCCCTCAGTAAGAAAGGATTTAGGCAGTTTGGCTGGTAGGAATTATTTGAAGAAAAATACTTTGCTAGACATTTGCTATGCAAGAAACAACTCCCTATAGTAAATAATGGGAGTAGGAAGCAAAAACCACAATAAAAGCCACCGCACTTACCATTCAGTATGATCACTATCAATTACTTACAGTCTAGTACACCCTGTCCTACACAGGTACAAATCAAGACCAAGTTTTTTCTTTTAACACAGTCATGCTTTCTCACTCCCTGAAAATAAAGCTTAACATTTCTGTTACTTAGAGGCCCAAAATGCCATTCCTTCTTTACGCTGGGCACTAATTTTGAATCTGTAAAAAAAAGCCAGTAATTATTTTAGACCACACTCTTAGAATCATTCACAGAAAACCCCTAGAAAGAAGGTATCATTCTGATTTCCCTCCCCCGTGCCCCTCACTGGGCCACTCAGCCTGCAGGATCTCAGCTCCTGAGCAAGGATCTAACCTGCACCCCTGCAGTGACAGCACAGAATCTTAACCACTGGACCACCAGGGAAGTCCCTGGCTTGCTTTTCTAAAAAGAACCTTTGTCTCTGGCAGTCCTGGCGGGAGAGGACTGGAGGTGAGAGCACTCATACACTGAGGTTCAGTTTGCTTGAGTCGCTCAGTCGTTTCCAATCTTTGTGACCGCAGCACGCCACGCCTCCCTGTCCATCACCAACTCCTGGAGTTTACTCAAACTCATGCCCAATGAGTCGGTGATGCCATCCAGCCCTCTCATCCTCTGTTGTCCCCTTCTCCTTTTGCCTTCAGTCTTTCCCAGCTTCAGGGTCTTTTCCAGTGAGTTCTTCGCATCTGGTGGCCAAAATATTGGAGCTTCAGCTTCAAGCATCAGTCCTTCCAACGAATATTCAGGACTGATTTCCTTTAGGATGGACTGGTTGGATCTCCTTGCAGTCCAAGGGACTCTCAAGAGTTTTCTCCAACACCACAGCTCAAAAACATCAATTCTTAAGCTCTCAGTTTTCTTTATAGTCCAACTTTCACATCCATACACGACTACTGGAAAAACCATAGCTTTGACTAGATGGACCTTTGTTGACAAAGTAATGTCTCTGCTTTTTAATATGCTGTCTAGGTTAGTCATAGCTTTTCTTCCAAGGAGCACGTGTCTTTTAATTTCATGGCTGCAGTCACCATCTGCAGTTATTTTGCAGCCCCCCCCAAAATAAAGTCTCTCACTGTTTCTATTGTTTCCCCCTTCTATTTGCCATGAAGTGATAGGACCAGATGCCATGATCTTAGTTTTCTGAATGCTGAGTTTTAATATTGAGTTTAATACTGAGGTTAGGAGTACAAATTGCTCTAATGTCTAGAAGCTGAAAAGAAAGCACATGCCCTGAGACTCACCAGATCCACTTGTGTAGACTCATGTGAAAGAATAAGGTTGTATATGACAATATGACCAAAAGAACTTAATCCATCACTGTGCAGGAGAAATTGGAACAATCTTAATGCCCAGTAAGTTAACAAATAACTATGGTTTGGTGATACCAGACATACAGGTACATATTAAAGTACCTACATGGGAATTTACATTATGGAAATCTAGCCAAGTGCTAAGAGTGCTAATGCACCTTGCACATTATGCATGTTTCAGACTTTTTGGAAAGAAAAATAGTTTGCCCTCATCATCAAAACTCCAAGAAAGACAAAGAAAAAGAGCCCAGTGTCCAAATACCCAGTTTTTGTTCATAATACATTCGTTGCAATTTTTCAAAAAACAAAGTATCTGGTAGGTTGTTTTTCGTGCATGAGCATGTTTTAATTCATTAATCAGGAAACTAACAGGACAGTAATGTTAGTTCACCACTTGGTCTTTTTACCATGTCTTTTCCTTTACCTGTTTGTTTATTTTGGCTGCATTTTCTGTTCACGTATTTCTCTCTTGCTACGAGAGAGCATATGAGGGCTTTTCCCGTGTATCTTGCTTTCTAATTAACTGTGCAGTTTATGTAGACTAAAACTCACTTGGTGACAAATGTAGTTGTGAGCACCACCACAACCTATAGTCTAGCACTCTCAAAATTTCCTCATGCTGCCTCTGTTTCCAACCCTTCCTCCAATTCCTGGCAACCACTGATTTTTCTCCTCCATTTCCATAGTTCTGTTTTTTCCCGAACTTTCGTAAGTGGGATCATACAGTATATAGCCTTTTGAGTCTTCTTTTTCTTAGCATAATATGTGTGGTCTTTATCAACAGCTCCCTCCTTTTTAGTGCTGAGTAATCTCTGTTATATAGATAAGCCAGTTTATGCATTTGCTAGTTGACTTCGTCCCCCTTTCCCAGTTATAAATAAAGATGTTATGAACACTTGAGTGCAATGTGGGTTTTTTGGTACTATATTTATTTGAATATTTATAAGACATAACCAAAACAAACTCTCCAGCACACTGATGTTTTCCTGACGAAAGCTATGACTGTATCAGGACTTTGTCAGTATTCCTGAAAACGCACGGATTACAGCCTTCATTGTTAGGACACACAGTAGCGTCAGCTGGGAGGGAGGGACTAACGTCACCCCCAGGGAAGATGAGCTAGAAGGAATGTCTATCCAACGTCATGGAGGAACAGAACCCCACTCCAGGGCTGGGCTCCTTACCCCCAGACTGCTTTTTCTGGAGAGAGAATTTAGCTTACCTTCTTTAAGCTAGTGTTGTTACATGGAGTTTCCCATCACACCCTATATAACCCCAGTACAGACTGCTACATTCAGTTCACAGGAAGTGACAGACTCACATCTCTGTAACGTGCTGTCCTTAAAGCAGCAGGAGAGCCGCAGCTGGCAGGACAGTACCTTAATAGATGCTCCTGCGAAGCGAGAAAGCTGTTTGATGTGCTGCCCTTGCTTGCCGATGATGGCACCTACAGACAGCGCTGGGATGAAGAGATGGACGGTCTCCGTTTCAGACTGCTGCTGGAAAAGACAGGACACCCATGCTTAGTGGATACAGATCAGGCTGTGGTGTGGGCACAGGGATGGGGCATTCTAACTGTTAGGAATATCAGGATAGTTTTAGGAAAAATCACCACAGCAAGCTGACAAGACTACCTAACAGGTTGGAAAGTTCTCATATTCATCCTGAAAGTATTAGTATTTAAAACAATACCACTTTTCTGTGTAAAATTTCTTTAACGCTTAGAACGCTGAGTTACAGATTTACAACAAATTGTGTGGCACTTAACGTTGGTCCACCAAATGACATAACCGCTCTTAGCACACAAAGGTTGCGAGTGTCAATAACCACTTCCTTTTCTCCCTGTAAGCCCTGTGTGGGGACAGAGAGCGTGCTAGGTCTTCAGTTTCTTTCTCTGAATCACCTGAAAATGTATGTCAGTTATACCTCAATTAAAAAATTGACCACCCCCCAAAAAGTTTAATTGAATCACAAAGGAAAGATGCTCTACTAGACCAAGGAAAAGAAATCAACAGGTTTGTTGTCTCATCTGCATACATCCATCTAAAGCATTTGTAAAACACTTTTAACTGCAACTTTTAAGGATTATGAGAATAAAACACATCACAGAAAAGTTGCCCCCCAAAAAACCCAATTACTATGTTTCCCTGACAGTTATATCTGAGGACTTTTTTGGGAACACTTCAAGAAAGTATGGTTTCCAGTTTCTCACTGATTTGCCTAACACTACAGTCGGGTCTTTTAACATAAATCTTGTGCCCATGCACAATACTTATAAGATTTTATGTAATAAAAATGCTGGGTTGCAGCATGAACATTTAAAATTTGTATTTCTAAACTCATGCTAATTATCTTACAGTCAATAAATGTGTACAAGACAGAGGGAAGTCATTTTGGTTTAAAACATGCCTTTCCCACATAACAAAAAATTAAAGCAGTGTGTGATTCTAGACCTCATGTCTTGTTTCCTACACAGAAAAATCGAACTCGGCTCTTCTAAGCCCCTTCTTTTTTCTGTTAACCACCCCTGCCCCACGTGCCCCCTTAGTTCGTATCCAAGTTAACCTAACATTCAACTCCAGAAAGTATTCTTGACAAAAGCCGCTGTACTTTTCTCTGATCATGACATTCTGTTTCTTCAGCATCAGCATAAATAGATGTTCACACACTATATTCTTTACAACCGGGTATCCCTGTGTTTCCCGGGACGCTCTAACACGCTGCAGGTCTTCATACAATGTCAGCCTAATGAAGTCTCCCTGGGGGCTCTGTAAGCATTCTTAGAACACACAGACCAGAAAAGGTTTTGCCTTCCCACTAAACTCCTGCCTGTAGAGATTAGTGGAAGAGGCCTGTTCTGCACAGCCTGGCCAAATCAACTTTTACTGCTATTCATCAGTAAAGAACAAAAATAAAATTAGTTCACCCTTCAGTATTTCTGAGACATAGGAAAAACGCCTCTCTCTGGAAAGCACCATACATCACAGCCTGCCAGGGCGTTATGCAATTACCATATACTATTTATTCCAGGGGCTTCCCAGACGGCACAGTGGTAAAAAAAAAATCCACCTGTCGGTGCAAGAGACACAAAAGACACGGGTTCAATCCCTGGGTCAGGAAGATCCCTTGGAGAAGGAAATGGCAACCCACTCCAGAATTCTTGCCTGGAAAATCCCATGGACAGAGGAGCCTGGTGGGCTATGGTCCATGGGGTCGCAGAGAGTCAGACACACCTGAACACAGCACACAACTCATTTATTCCAGAGGTACAATTTAAGGGCTCTCTTAGTAACTGGACAGAACTGAATTAATGGTGACATTGCCTATCAACTGTGCTCAATGTTAATACTAATTTATTTTGTCATTCCGGTCCTTAAATTAAAATTTGTATGTTAACCAATTTTCTGAAGTAAAGGGAAAGTTGCTCAGTCGTGTCTGACTTTTTGCGACCCCAATGGATGTCCATGGAATTCTCTAGGCCAAAACACTGGAGTGGGTAGCCTTTCCCTTCTCCAGGGGATCTTCCCAACCCAGGGATCAAACCCAAGCCTCCCACATTGCAGGTGGGTTCTTTGCCAGCTGAGCCACAAGGGAAGCCCTTCTAAAGTAAAGACAGGATCTATTTTGTCTTGCTAAGAACATCCATGTAATGTTCTTCTGAGTACACTTTTTTTTAAAGAGGGTGGTGAGGAGTCAGGGGTCTGGCAGTAATAAAGACCTTTCTTGTTTTGTTTTTTTTTAAAGACTTCTCTTAAGGATCAGACTAAATCTATCATGTACCTTGCCAAAATCTGCCCCATTGTATTTTGCCATGACTATGTAATTATTTGCTTTCTGGGCCATGTTCCAGGAATACTTTATGCTGCTTACAAAATACAGAAGATTTAGAAAGACAAAGGAAGTGAAGAAATAAGAGCAGAGGGACCTCAACAGAAAAGATAAAATCAGAAATGCTGTTATTATACAAATTTGGCTCCATGCTTCTTAGCAATTAATTAAAGCTAAGAAAAAAGTTAACAGCATGATTTACCATATCTTTAAGAGAAAAGCTATTTGTTTAGTAAAAACTAGTTTTCCTGGGACTGACCCCAGAGATCAACTTCTGAATGTTCTTAGCGGCCTAAAGTACCAGGATCATCAGACCAGAAGTCCCAGAGCCTCACAGTACAGCCTGAGCATCTCAGCCTAGAAGAAACACGCTGACCACCACAGCTATGAGAAAAACCCATGGGCATAAATAACTACTGTCATCTCAAAAGCTGAACAAAAGCAATCATCTTTCCATACAGTGATGGATGAGAGGCTACAGGTGCTTTTGTTTCACTGACTTTGGGGAGGTGGGAGTGAGGTAGGAGATAATGAACACATAGATTAAGCTGAGTGAAGCTCTGGGAAAGCAATGCTGGTGAAGAGACCAGGACTGAAAGGACCAAGCAGAAAGAAGGGCAAAGTCATGAAGAAAGCATCACTCTGCAGACAAAAAATGCTCCACACTGGGATGAAAGCAGAGGCAACAAATCTACAAGGCGGGTTAGCAGGAAGTGAAGGACGCATGCCAGGAGGCGGTGCCCCAGACTCAGGGACTGTGGTGTGTGCTCCTGACGATAGCACCTTAATGAGAAGGTGACTCATCAGGTGTCTGCAGCCTGATGGAGACCTTTCTGAATGCCACCCAGATCCCTCTGCCCAGTTTCATATCCAACAAGCACATCCCTGACCATAAATTACTTCTCAAGCAAAATTTCTCCAGGAGTATAAGGCACCTCACATAAACCTCCTGTCTACCGGACAGTCATTAAACCAGCCCACTCTTATATGGGACTCCGTATGGTAAGCCATGCTTTCAGGGTTAGGACACCCAAATAAGCAAATAGTTTTTACTTATAAAGTTCAGAAGCCGTAACACTGGGTTATGACAAGTCTCTTTCACCTGTGAATTTAAGACTCTGAGGTGGTTTTGAGAAGATCCATCAGCTTTACCTTTTTATGTTACACATTCTTCGCATGGAAGTTAATGTTCACCTGCGTTACCCTGAACCCTTCTCCCTGAACCCTCAGAGGTGGACGATCCTCAGGCCGCTTCCCAGTGGATTTCTGCCAGATGCCTACTGGCAGCACTTCCTCTGGAGTTCTTGGCAGCCTCTGGGCTATAGCTTGAAATAACAGAAGAACAAAGCTGCTCAACTGAAAGTTTGCTTAACTGGTGAAGTCTGCCAATGAGTAATTCCTAACCATCTATCATGAGGAGATAGAATGAGCCAACAGCAAGGTTAAGTGTATTTACTTTGTGGGGAACAGAACCTAAAACACCACACAGGCACGGACACAAGCATGCCGGCCAACAAGCTCAGCCTCCAGGAACCTGGCAGGATGCCAGCAGCGCCCTATGGCTCGAAAAAGACACACTCCTGGGGGTTTTGTTTTGTTTTGTTTGTTGGGTTTTAATGGATTTTGGCCTGGAACTGGGATCGAGTTTACTCAACTTCATGACCTGAACTCAAGTCTTTTTTAAAAAGGCAAAGAAAGTTTCTCCATATACTAAGTACAAGGCCTCTTAGAGATAATATATGCAATGAGTTATTTACTTTGGAACTGTTTACTAGCAAACGAGCCACACCCGCTATAAGACATCCTCAAGAGGAGGACTAAGACTCCATGAAGTCATTTGATCTAACAGTCCCTTTCAAATTACAGTTTTGCTTCTTAAAGACCACTTCAAAGTAGATGAGACCCAAGAAAGTGTTCACCTTTCTTGTCTCTTCCATAAGCAGAAAGTTAGCAATTTTAAGATTACACTGTTGTTCTAGAGGCTTGGGAAGGCGCTATCAAAATGATGGAGACAACAGCTCTTGAGCTAAGTTCTGCCAACCCCAACGCAAACTGCCAAACCATCCAGCTATGGGTGGTGGTGTGTGTGATGCCAATTCCAGCTCCTCCTCTGCTCACTAGCTGCCAACTGCCTCTTCCCTACTGTTCAGCATCTCTGAAAGGAGCATTTCCTGTCATTTATAAACTCGAAGTCTGCCAATTAAGTACTGCATGAGCCAGCTGCTAGGCAGGAACTAGAGACTTTTTGTCTGCTGGAAGAACTCTCTGGCTCTACTGCAAACATCAGCCTGGCAGGCTTCAGGAAGAAGAGTGTGTTTTAGGGGGAGAGATGGGCAAAGTTCTGGAACAGAACAGAGACGAGGAATTTATCCAAAGACGAGATGCATCAAGTTCTACTTCACGTTACAAAGCAAAAGTGAGAAAACATGAGCAGAAAAATGAAACAATTCTCAAAGAGGAAGCAGTGCATAAAAACAGAGTCAGTCTTTGAACCATTTAGTCATCAATACCTACTCCTTGACAGGCAATGTATAAAGTAAAAACAGAGATTTGCTACTAACCTACAGGCATCAAGGATAAAGAGACTATCTTTGTTAGTAACCTGACTTCTCGGTGAGAACATCTACAAAACAGTAATGGAGGAGTGTTGTCAGTTCCGAGAGCAAACACCTCCCGACCTTTAATTCCCTAACCCAGTTTTTAAATACAGGCACACCCCAGAGACACTGCAGGTTCAGTGTCAGACCACTGCATTAGATGGAGTATCAGAATAGATCAATAAAAAAATTGCGCAAATTTTTTTGTTTCCCAGTGCATGTAAGTTATGTTTCTACTACACTGTTGCCTATTAAATGTACAATAGCATTATGTCAAACTGTACATACCTGATTAAAAATAATGCTATTGGAAACATGTTACCAACAGATTTGCTCAATGCAGGCTGCTGCACACCTTCAATTTGTAAGAAACAGTTTCAAATTCTGTAAAAATTAAAACTGTTGGAAAGAATAGTTCTTAGAGATAATTCATCTAGCTCAGTTTTTTCACCATGTGGATGAGAAACCTAGAGCGAGGAGGAGACTGACCTACAGCGTCAGAGAGACGGTGGGGCCCAGGGTCTCCCTCCAGGGCTCACTTCCTTTCCACCCATCCCCTATAGCACCAAGCTGTAAACACATGAGCCGCTCCACATCACTCTCAGCTGTGGTACAAAGCTGTGGGTGTGCGTGCTAAGTTGTTTCTGTCGTGTCCAACCCTGTGCAGCACCACGCCAGACTCTTCTGTCCATGGGATTTCCCAGGCAAGAATACTGGGGTGGGCTGCCATGCCCTCCTCCATGGGAACTTCCGGACCCAGGGATCGAACCTGTGTTTTTTTTAAGTCTTCTGCTTTGGCAGGTGGGTTCTTTACCACTAGTTCAACCTGGGAAGCCCCACAAAGCTTTACAATCAAGTCTATTCACACCTGATATGAAATTCCGGTACCTATCTTTAGATTAAGGAGCTTTGTTACATGGTTTCTAGGCCCCAAAGAGGTTTGAAGTAGCAGGTGAGCTGCAAGGGAAGATGCAAATGTCGCCAACAGCAGTGGCAGAAACACACACGCTACAAGACCAGAGCAAAAGCTACACCCAGCAGCCGGGTGGCTTCAAGGACAGGCAAAGGCAATTCGCATTCTTACAGGGATAAGATATGACCAATCTCATAACCCGTGTTCTTCGCAGAGCTCCTGTGGCTTTTTATTCTACAAGTGCTCTAAGCACTGACCGAGCAGAACCTCCTTTTCCCTGAACACTTCCCTCAGTTTGGTGTAGCAGGTACCGCTCACAACTTTATGTCATAAGAGAGTCAAATAGGAAGAAAGAGATAGAAAAACGAATTCAATAAGGAAGATCCTAGAACGTTAATTTTATTTCACATGATTGTCTGCTAGGCTGCATTTATTTTCATACTATCACTGGCCTATTTCTAACCTCAGGGAAAATGCTACTTTCAAAAAGCAAATATAAAAATTACAATTTCTTAACAACATGATTATTTCTTAATGACACACCTGTTTACAAAACAAATAAAAGCTGTTTAATGTCTGCACACACACACACACACAGCAGATTTGTGGGCAAGACTATCTGAGCTCACCACTTAATAAAGCACAACATTCAAAATGGAAAACGTGTCTAGTCTTTACTGACCTTTCAGGTGAAGTTCAGGATGAAGGAAGCCTATTCAAAATCCTCTCCTTTACATTTAAAGTAAGAAACCTCTTTCCCCCTCCCCAGAGTCTCAAATTTTTCTTTTGATATTTGAAAACGTATGTTGACAACCCTGCCACCCAAGAACTTCAAAAGAAATAACTCATGTATGTCTACAAAGAGAAGAAGGTCCTAGTGACAAGAACTGGAACGCCTGTGCCAGATCCAAACTGACAAATGGTCACACAGGGGTCGGGTTTTACCTTAAGATTTTCCCCAATTAGCATTTAATGTCACACCACTTGAGGGCAACAAAGTCTGACTGTGTCCCTTGACGTCACCCCCCTCAACCAGAAGGAAAGGCAGGGCACACCGTCTTACCTCAAACTGCGGGTAAGGAGGAGTCATGGCTGATGGGGGCCCTGGGGTGGGAGGTGGCATCCCAGACGTGGGTGGGAACAGACCCAAGGCGTTCAGATTTAATCCAGGAATTAGATGTGCTTGAAGCTGCAATGGTAAAAAAAAGGTCCCTTTATTTTACAGTTACAAGATCAAGTACAAGTGAGCATTTATATGTGATAATATCCAGATTGTGACCTCTTGTCAAGTAAAGAAAAAAATCATTTTGTGAGTTAAATCTTGAAACAAAGCAGATGTTCCATGTGATTATACTTCGGGTTACAGGTTATGTCTGTACATAATTCTTGCTATTTTAAACTCCATGTGCTGTCTTCCTCCCTTTGATCTGAAGGCACACTGGGTTTCTCAAAGCAGGGGACACAGCCTTCCTTGCCTTTACGAGCAGCTCTCAGTGCTCAGACATACAGGTTATCTGTACTCTCCGGGCACACAGTAAAGAGAGACTGAGTATCTTGCATGAATTGAAGAAGCAAGCAAACAAGATACGTTCATTGAAAAGCAGAACAGATAACAGATATTAAGAGATCTTTACTCCATGAAAAAACTTGGTGGTCATGAATCTACAGACCTAAAACAAAATCAAGCTCTTTGGGAATCAGGTTCCACGCTCATGTCCCTTCAAATAAACCGATCTTTGGAATGGATCCAGGAGCCAGAAATGGGATTTGGTTTTGGTTTCATTTGCCAAGGGTTGAGAAAATAAGGTGAAGACTACAGAGTTCAGACTTGAGCATCCTCAAGCATTTTTTTTCAAGGCCTGAGTGGGTTTGGATTTACTCCCAAGTGACCCTGAAACACTTGGATGAGCAGTGATCATGTGAAGGTAGGGAGGCAGTCATGTGGGGGTAAAATGATTAGCATTTAAGGCACTTCTCACAATGGCAGTATCATTTTTACACTTTCCCTTCTTTCAAGTGTAATGTTTCAGATGGCAGGCCCAGCTGATGAACTTTTTTTTCCCAATCATTTACTTGAAAATTCAAGATGGACTTTTGAAACGCTACATTTTCCATGCCATTCCACCGTTACGGCAGGTCAGCAATGCACTTTAACTGCCTTACCTGCGCTACACAGATTTGTTTTGTCACTGGAAACTCTTCTATCGCTAAGGGTTATGAGTAACCGGGTTTTCAATTTATCTTCATAACAGTAGTTTTTTATATATGCACTGTATCTATTATAATCCTAATAAGCATGCAATGTAGGCAACAGCCCTATTTTACAGATGAGGAAACTGTGCTCAGAGAGACCAAGTAAGTCGTCCATGAGAATAAAGCTACAGCTAATAAATGGTTGAGCTAAGATTCAAACCAGTTCACACGCTCCTAAAGCCCACATTCCTATAATACTATAATCTCCCTCAAATTCACACTGTATGGGAAAGATTAGCCTTTTTTAGGGAGGTATTAACCTTACCTCACAGGTAAGGAAGCTAAGGCACAAAGTTAGCTAAAATCAAAAAAGAGGGCCAAGCCTGAAGTCCAAGTTTGTGTCTGCCCAACTATCCCAGGGCACTCACCATGATGCTCAAAGTCAATTAGAAACCACATCTAACAATGACGCCATTAAAGAAATCAATGTTAAGGCAATTTAAAACATCTTTGAACTGTTCATCAAAACAAAGACATTTCCTTCATATCAAAACTAACATTCATGGAAGCAATATCGTTTTCATAAGACTCCCTGATTTTCTTCATTATCTCTTCCTCCGCTCTGGCGCAGGTTTCCACGTTGCCTTTCACCGTAATGGTGCGCTCTGGATTGTACAGTGTCAGCTCCTGCAATCTGCGGATTGAAACAGAGGCAAGAAAAAGACTGGAAATTATAGGAGGGAGACAGTTAATAATAGTTCAACCGTAACTGGCAATTCAAACCCAACTGTGGAGGCTGGCAATGTGTAAAAGGAGGTGGTTAGACATCATGAAAAATGAGTAAGCCCCAAAAGTTGTGAATACAAGAATTGTAAACTGCAGAATAGAAAATCCTGCCCCTCCCACCTTCTCAGTAAGTATCTCTGGGTGTACGCAGTTCAATTAAGTCCATGTTTTAAACAAATTATACTTCTTGACCACTTAAGGTGAGCTTTTTTCACAACAGTGAAATGTAAAGAAAATGATCCAGAGGAACCTATAGTTTTAGTGGAGCCCAAGAACCAGATGAATATAACCTTTAATAAGTGCTTTTCTAGTCTGCCCTGACCAATTTGGGGTGTAATTTGGCCTTGTCAGGCAACTGCATTTTTTGGATCACCAAGCAAGGAATAAGCAAGAAAATATCCCAAAATGGCACCCAGAATTCATATGTCTAAGCTTATTTTTGTTGCTAATTTTAGAATTTAGATTGATGTGCGCTTGCGGAAATAACACAAATCCATCCATTTTGACTGAATTTTAAAACTAGTCCCTCGATGACCATTTAGACAGCTAAAAGGCTAAGATGTAACAGCAATATTCAGAAAGCCCCTACTTGTCTCAGCTCCTGCAGAAGCGCCAAAATCCATTCAGATGACACTGACACCATCTAAGTCTCAGCCATTCAACAGCCTTGAAGGGAAACCCATGGGAGGTACTTACCAGGGAAACAAGGCTCAGGAAATGGATGGAAAGAATACAGAACATTGCGACAGTTTCCTTTCATATTCTTAGGGTTAAAACTCTCATTTTCACTACTAGCAAAGTGTCTCAAGCTAAACATGAGCCAGATCAATGGGATGTTATTCCTTAACTTCTTCCTATACTTGTTAAAATATAAACATCCACACAATGAAGAGGCTTCGTCTCAGACCCCGTACACAAGTGTATGTCTCCTCTTCAGGCTCAACCGATTCTCCCCTGAAGAGCATTTTCTATTACAGTTTTTAAAATAGCTGCTTCCAGAACAGCCTTTATGATATATTTTTTTCCTCTTAAAACCTTCCCCTTTCTGAGCATAAAATTCAAGAGAGGGTAGGATCACTTGTTCTTTTTACTGTTTTGCAGTTTTTCCTTTCCCACCAAGCGGGACTCTCCCACTTCCTTTCCACTCCCGCTTCTACAAAAACTCCTTGCTCCATGAAGATAGTGCCCCAGTCTTTCTCTACTATTCTTCATTAGTTTGTTAGTCTCTTTCCCCCTCAACTTTTAGCGTGCCCTGAAGGAAATAAAGTCACCCTCAGAAGAGAAAGGCCTTTCCACGTAATTTCAGAGCGTTCATGGACTGCAGGCGTGGGGACTAGCCTCCATGATCCGCACTCCCCAGTGACCAGCCCTCCCACACTGACTGACCCTGAAGGAAATAAAGTCGCCCTCAGAAGAGAAAGGCCTCTCCACGTAATTTCAGAGCGTTCATGGACTGCAGGCGTGGGGACTAGCCTCCATGATCCGCACTCCCCAGTGACCAGCCCTCCCACACTGACTGAAGCTGACTTGTGTCAACAACAGTAGAAAAAAATGGTAAAGAGAGTGACTTCTGAGACTATGTTACAAAAGACACAGCTGCTTCTGTCTTGTTGTCTCTTAGGTTGTTCACTGTGAGGGAAGAGAGCTGCTATGACTTGAAGACGCCCCCAAACAGCCCTGTGGAGGAGCTGAGCTGAGGTGAGGAGCTGAGGCCACATTCTAAGAGCTGCTTGGCAGCAACATCAAGAGACCCCCCCAAACCAGGACTACCCAGTCATGCTGTGCCCCTGGATTCCTGCTCCACAGAAACCAGGTGAGCAATAAACGTTTACCCTTGTCTTTAGTGGCCAATGCTGGGATAAGCTGTTATACAGCGATGGATAATACGCAGGGTTATACACTCCAGCTTTCAGAGCAGATGCCGGAAAACCCCAGCAAGACTTCAGTGAGGAAATACACACGGCAAGTACTAGTGTGTCCTGCCTCTGTAGTGGGAACAGAGAATGCTTTCACTGTGGGCTGGAAACAGCAGGCAGGAGAGAAATGGGTTTGAGAAGTGAAGTATGAGCAGGGTGGTACAGGCCAGCTCCAAGAGTCGTAATCCACTTAATAGATAACCTATAGCTTGGAAATGGTATTTTTGAAAGTTTTCTAATTCTAAAGAAAGCAAGGCAGCACTTACGGAGATATTGTGATTTTAGTGTCAGTGTCCTGCTCAATTTTTTTAAGATTCCGTCCTTCCTTACCAATGAGACGTCCTACAAAATTATTATGGGCTAAAATCTTCAAAGGAATCTCTTCTGTGCTGTAAAGGAAAATAAAATAAAAAGGCCACCAATCAGAGTAAGTATACCTATTCTAGGGTAAAAGGACAATATTCATTCATTAAACATTGACTTCCTGCCTTCCGTAGGGGAAGCATTCTGCCAAGGACACTGTAAAGCTTGCTGACCATCAGCCCACATTCTAGCAACGCATGAAGAGAGGGGGATGAAAAAACACTGGCAAGTATTTGGATAGGAGTTAATTTTTAAAAGTTTTCTTTTATTCATCTCAGGGAATGCCTTCCAATAACGGATTCTAGTTAGCTCTTTGAAAACACCTTACTCAAACCCATATGCTGAAACCCCCAATACCAGAACACCACCTACAACATGAAACAGCACGGTTTTAGAATAATGTTTAAATACACCCCTGGAGATAAAATGCACGATTTACAGAGGGAAACAAGAAACTCAACAGGGTTACACTTTGGAGGGAAGAGTATAAGAGAGGGGATTTTCACTTTTCATTTTGTACCTTTCTGACTTTCCAAGTCATGTACATAGCACTGTGTTAACATGTCATTGGGGTCATCTAAGTGGTGGGCTTTTTCTTCACTTTTCTTTATACTAAAAAGTAATTTTAATCTTATAATAAAGCAACATATAATACCTTCTAATTAAAATATACGTAATGTACTTCAAAGGTCCCTCCAAATTAAATGCCGGTCATTAGGTCCCCAGGCTAGGACCCGTGTCTTACTCTGGAGCCCCCCTTTCAGCACACCACCATGCTAGGTGCTACAGGCAGCAGAGAGCCCAGCCTCTGCTCACAGCTCCCACGCACAAGAGATTTAGAGTTTCAACCTGAAGCACCCGAATCAACAGCCAGCTTCCCACGGCACAAGACTGGGGCCTTCCCAGCTCCGTTCTCCTGCTCCTGCAGCGGGGGCTGGCAGACAGGCCGAGCTCCTTCGAGCTCCAAGCACAGGAGTGAGGGTTTGGGGTCCCTGCTTTGGGTAAATCCCAGGGATGCTTCTTGGACCTTAGGTGAGCTTCCTGTGACCCCAACTGCCTTCTTTATACAGCTGGACTTTTCCCATTAACACCACTCGCAACACAGCCAAACGAATGAAAATGAAGCGTTTAAAAGACTTATGCTCTATAACCACAAAAACAACACTGCTGACCCTCTGTCGCTCTTCGGGACAGCATTTCCCTTTGTCTGCTGGCAATTCCCAAAAATTATGTCAAAGAATCCCAAAAACAGGACCACATAAATATCAACCTCCCCACCAGGTAATCTTCTTTACTCACAATTTTATATCTTGAGCTTCTTTATGCATAATCTCCAGAATAGACTTACAAGCTGCAGAGGTGCCCTCAGGGGTAGAGAGGATAGTAATGGACTTCTCGGCGGCACCTGCGTTCTCCTTCCGATGGACATCAATTCTTAGGGTGGGCACAAGGGGAGAGGGAAACGAGCTGTAAGCATGTGTTCACAACAGTCTGTCATCACCACCTATACAGTCACCGCACTTCTGGAGAGAGTGGGTGACGCACTTTCCTCAAAACCAAATCTTGATAAGCCGTCACCATGGATGAGACCAGTGTTAAGTCCAAGAATATTCCCCTCTCTCTGCTCATGCGGGGGCATCTTTTTATTCTGGCCAAGCTGCACCTGCTTAATTTTCCTTTTCAGTGCTACAGGTCAGTCATCTCATATGCAGGAGCCTGGGTTCAAACAAAAAGCTTTCTTCCACTCAAAGACCAAGGGAGCCTGGAACACAAGCCAAGAAGACTGGAGCTGGAATCCCACAAGTCGGGGGCTCCTGACTCCACTCACGCAGTGTGACCACCATCCGTCACAGGTGGGATTTCACTCTTCGGTTTCCTCTTGCCAGGGTCTTTCTACATTTTGCCTTCCTGATCAAGGAAAAGTCCACAATAAACAGTGATAGGAGTGGACCCCAAAGAAATGGCAGCGGTTCTATATCAAAAAAAAGGAAATGGCCACTAAACACGCAGTGATGTTCAATCTCACTGGTCCTTAAAACAAGGTGGTGTTCTCTTCCAGACCTGCACAGATGCGATTCAGTACTGGCAAGAGGATGCATGTCTGGGATATGCACACCTCTGGCGTGGTGCGGAGTACAGAACAATCTGCTGAACTGCTTATTATCTTTTGACCCAAGAATTCTACTTCTTGTAACATCTCCTACAGATGAAGTCTCACACGTGGGCTAAGAGTGGTGTTTCTCACCCTCTGGCAGCATTGGCACTTTGGGTCAGACTAGTTCTTTGGTGTGGAAGCCAATCTGTGCATTGCAGGATGGTGAACAACATCTCTGGCCTCTACCCAGTAGACACCAGTAGCACCCCCGCCCCCATCTAAGCATGACAACCGAAACTGTCTCCAAACACTGACAAATGTCTTCTGGGGGAAAACATCACCATGGGTTGAAACCACCGGTGCAAGCATGTTCACCGCTGCACTATTTGTAATAGAAAATTGGTATTTCCAAGATATTTCCAATAAGGAAGAAACGGTTAAAGAACATATCTATATCACACAGTTGTTCATAAATGTGGTAAAATTACAGGTGCCAACAAAGCAAAAGGTCCTCAATCTTATGTGAAAAAAAAACACACTACATACCATGATATAAATTCTCCTTTAAAGCTACATGTGTTAGTAGATATGAGGAACAAGTCTTATAAAGACATATTCCCAACTCAACAGTGGTCACCTTGGGGGTTAGATGGAGGTTAACTCTTTTATTTTAATGTACATACTTGTACATTTTGAATTAAATACAAAAACAAGTCTTCTGTTTAAAAAGTACAAGAAAGAAAATCAACTATTCAAAAAAGTGTATTCGGGGAAAATTATTTTAAGTTCCTTTGGCCACTCAAACTCTAGATGGAAAGGCTATATAACTCGTTGTCATGAAAATGCCCACTACATCTTGCTAATAAAATCAGAGTTTGGATTTCATTTTCCTAAATGCCTAATTGAAAACTGAAGAGTTATCTCAGAATTAAAACCTATAGCTAAAAATAAGGGCAATGTAGAAGTGAAACAAATAAGGAATATCTAGAAATAACCAATAAAAAGAGTATCTTGTAACAGATCTGATCTCAGGAACCATCTTTCTAGTCACTGGTTTCAGTCTCCAATCACTGTAAGTATTGCATCTCTTCTAGTAGGTCATGTGCTCATCTCCCCCCTGGTTTATTTCCACCTGCTCACTGTGCTAAGGATTACCAAATTCTGATCCTCTGAGAGTAAGGAATGTTGCTTTACAGATTAGGGCAGCCCTGTGAGGCTATTACAGAAGCAGAAGATCTGATAATGACGAGTTTCAATGGCAAGAGTTAATTAAATCTGTTGGCAGAGCTGCAAGTGAATCATGGAATACAACTATCGCTTCCCTTCCCTCTCCATCCTCCATCTTCCTGCTTAAATAAAACAAACAGTTTCATTAAATCACAGAAGCTCTTTCCTCTGACAGGGAAATGAGCAGCTTTAATTTAAAAGGAGCAACTTTCATCTGCCATGTAATGAGGAAGGGAAACGACTGAATAATTAGTTTCTGCAGGTAACAGGGAATCAATGCAAGAGAGACACTCTTGAAATAGAGAATTAAAGAGAAGCTCTTGTATTAAAATGAGGCAAATCTGAGATGAAAACTGATTGGGCCATGGTTGTCTTCCCTACCCTCTAACATTACCAAGTCAAGGCCACCGACTTTGCACAAAGGTAACCAGCACTCAGCATCTCTCCCACTCCCAAGTGTGGGAAGGCAGGGCCAGGCGCCACTCTTCAGGGGGAGTGGGTGCATGACCACCACTAGACACAGTTCGTTTTGCTTCTACATCAGAAAAGGGCCAGCCACCTGAAGGCTGGCATGGTGCCTGTGATGAACGTGGATAACCTCTTAAGCCTGTTGGAACAAACACGGCACCATAGTTGTACTTTCCGAAAAAGACTCTGCTTAACTCCTTGGACCACACAAAATAACTTTTCTCACTAAATTTAAAAAGCAAAATGGTCCACAATCATCTCTGTAGCTGACCCAAGGCCGTCTCCCTACCCTTTTGTGTAGAATGACTTGAGTGGTGTGTACACACTGCCTCTTCTCCCTTACATCTTCAGGAAATATGGTGGCAACTGTGCCAGAGACGTGCCTGATAGCAATTTACAGAACTAAGGGCAAGGACAAAGTTCATCGTCAAGTTTTTTTGGGTCATATTCTTCACATACAGCGTAACAGGATGGTTACTAAAGCAAAACCACAAATATGCAATCATTGGAGCTCCAAAACTGAGTGCCTTAGATATACTTTAACAGAATTAAACATAATTCACATGCAGTTATTTCACTCATTTTACAAAAATGAGAGCCATCAACAGACCAGTGTTGGGACTACAGTGGTAAATAAAAACAAACAGCTCCTGCTTTCTACTGCTAAAAAGCCTGAGTATTTGATGGAGAATCTTCTAATTCCCCAAATCTGCAAATTAAAACTATCAAACATCCTAAAGAAAGAACTATTCTAACTACATGGCTTAAACACAGATCATAAACTGAATTATTCTTCATTGAAGTAAAGCAAGACTAAAAAACTCTTCTGTGTTGGACCCAGAAAATTACTTCTAAAAGCACAGAAGGCAGTATCAGTGGAGGTCGGAGAGGAGATGGGGGAGCAGAGAAACACCTAGAAGTTGCCCTTTTGTTGGTCAGGGCCTCCCCCATCAGGAGTACCATTTGTTTTCCATTCATGTGTGAAAATCTAAAGTTCTCTTTGAGATTAAGGTTTAGCCCCAGGTTTTTATAAAATGAACACTAAAGATATCAAATCACAAGGTTTTTCCAGATTCCCAAGTAGCATACAAGAAGGGATCACAACCATGTTCAGGAGGACATGAAGTAGCAAACAACAGACTCTGTTATGAGGATTCAAACACCCACCGCGCCCCAGGAAATACTCACTTAGACTGGGTCTGTTTGGTGATATTCCGAATGGTGGCGCCTTCTTTTCCTATAATGGCTCCAACGAACTGGGTGGGAACCAGCAGGCGCAGAGGCAAGTCACACGGCTTTTGCTTGGACACTGACCCTGGAGACCCCTGCCTCGAGGAGCCCCTCTGGCCAAACCCACGCCGGCCACGAGGCTGCTGTGAGGGGCTCTGCTGGGCCGCCATCTCATCAGGGATGTAGGCCACTCTCAGCGTGAAGTTCTCCAGCTGGAACCCGTTCAGCTTGTCTAAAGCTCTGCAAGTGAACAAGGAGCAGGGGTGGGAAGGGGAACCAGGCTGGGTAACAGCAATACCACCTCTTCCACTCAGGATTCCCGGCTCTAAAGCTCCTGAATAAAGCCACTGAGCAAATCGCAAATCCAGAACACACCTAACACTCCCCGCCCACATTCCCTTTGAAGGACACATGGGGAAAACAGGTTTCCAAGGGAACATATTAGCCATTTACCAGTAAAGTAAAAAAAAAAAAAAAAAAATTTGTCAAACTCTAACTAGGGAATTCCCTGGCGGTACAGTGGTTAGGACTTGGTGCTCTCACTGCTAAAGTCTGGGTTCAATCCATGGGCAGGGAAGTAAGATCCCAGAAGATACACCGTATGGCCAGAAAAAAACCCAAACAAACAAAAAACAACACTCTTGACTAAGCCATTCACCATGAAGTCAATAACAGTCTATGAAGACCCCCACAGAACAAGAGGAGGGGGCTCTCCTTCTCCTGGCTAGTCTTTCCAAATCAGAATAGAAAAGATGTTACAATACAGACCTCCCTTGCTTTAAGGTCTTAAAAACAAATATTTAAAACACTTTCAGAAGCAAAGGACAAAAATCTCTGAGCCACTTACTGGAGGAAGTAGAATTTAATACTCATGTTACTTACCACTATAAAATCACTCAATACCTATTATGAGCCTGTTCTTGAGGGAAAAAAGCAATCCATGACCTTGTAGAATTTATGATCTGATTTGAGGCAGGGAGACAGGGGTGGTGGTGAAAAGAAAACAACAAAAGCTGTCTTCTCCCTATCTATCCATCCATCCATGCACCCATTCATCTATTTCAAGAGGAGCTTTACTTTTTCTGTTTTGTTTTGTTTTTTTTTTCATTTTAGAGCCTTGTTATGGAAAAGTACGGAAATTAAACGACACTTGTTGCTCCCTAGAAGAAAAGCTATGACCAACCTAGATAGCATATTAAAAAGCAGAGACATTACTTTGCCAGCAAAGGTGCATCTGGTCAAAACTATGGTTTTTCCAGTAGTCATGTATGGATGTGAGAGTTGGACTATAAAGAAAGCTGAGCACCAAAGAATTGATGCTTTTGAACTGTGGTGTTGGAGAAGACTCTTGAGAGTCCCTCGGACTGCAAGGAGATCCAACCAGTCAATCCTAAAGGAAATCAATGCTGAATATTCATTGGAAGGACTGATGGTGAAGCTGAAACTCCAATACTTTGGCTACCTGATGCGAAGAACTGACTCACTGGAAAAGACCCTGATGCTGGGAAAGATTGCGGGCAGGAGGAGAAGGGGATGACAGAGGACAAGATGGTCGGATGGCATCACCGACTCGATGGACAGGAGTTTGAGCAGGCTTCAGGAGTTGGTGATGGACAGGGAAGCCTGGCGTGCTGCAGTCCACGGGGTCACAAAGAGTTGGACACTACTGAGCAAGTGAACTGAACTATGGAAAAGTACCCAATCTTAAGCAAACATCCCAATGAACTTTCACACAGTGAGCATGCATCTCCAAATTTAGAGCTAGGACACCCAGTGTCCCTGAAGCCCCACCAGGACCTCCTTCCAGTGACTGCCCCTGCCCTCGGCTCCTCATGCCATAGACGATTCTGCCTGTTTACATTTCTATGTAAATACCCATGTCTGGCATCTTTAACTTATCATTTATAAGATAAATGTGTAAGATTCCTAAGATAAATTGGTGTGTTCTAGCTTACCTACGTATTTTAAATGTGAAGAACTCAATAAAAGTTGACAGAAGATACTGCCATATAGACATCACCATAATAATACACACTCCCAGTGCACAACAAAATTTAAAAAAAAAAAAAAAGGCCTCACGCTTTCTCCAGGGTTACTCAGAATCTTTGCTCAGATGGTATTCCAGTGGGCCCTGAGTTCGACCCAGGCAAGGAGAGAAGAACAGGCATAAAATGCTCTCTGTCTAGTTGCTCAGACTGATCATTTGTGGTTCACATACTGCTTTCTTTATCTGGAGATCTTTCCGTTTCAACTTTAAGAGATAGGCTCAGCACCAAAAGGGGTAACAAAACCATGAAACTGCATGGCAGATGCAGAAAACCAGACAAGACATACAATGTCCTCAGGACTCAGAATTCTGCCCTTTCCGCACGTCAGTGGCCTGTTCCATCACTGTCCTACAGTTCCATGCATACGAATTAACTCTTTAAAAGATCCCAGTCATACAGACTAACAAAGTATCAAGAAATTTCTGTCACCATTACCTCCAAGACCCTTCCCAGAGTAACTGTTAACTGTGATAACTTCTGCAAACGGACCAGTTCTTTCCATATGCTTACACAGGTGTGTAAGTGTTCAGTACCTTCTTAAAAAAGTAGTAACTGAGATCATGATATAGTCGTGTGATTTGTTGTTTTTCCAAATACAATGTATCTTGGGATATTTCCATGTGAGTTTTGTATCAGACGACATTCTTTTCCCATGTATGTGTGTGTAACTGAATCGCTTTGCTTTAGAGCAATTAATAAGACATTGTAAATCAACTATACTTCAATTCTTTTTTAAAAAGTAGCTAAAGATGGCATTCTTTTCATAAGCTTTATAGGTGATAGCAGACACACGAAAAACTTGTTTTACCAATACCCCTATATAAGAACCTTCAGTTAACACATTTTTCCTGCCTTCTTCCCTCTCCTTTTTTCCTAATGAATACGTGCATTAAGGGCCCTAAAGTATTTTGGCTATTTCTAAAGGAAGACAACAGCTAGAAATTTTATTAACATCGATGATGTACATTTACTACAGGAAGTTTGGAATTACAGATGTTTCAACAAATTAGATAAAGCCCAAGAGGAACCTGTCGCTGAAGGTTACATGAGGAGGAGCCCAATGGAACAAAGGGCTCAACTCCACCTGGGACATAAAAGGCGACAGTTCACGGTGACACCCTTCCCCACTCTAAAACTGAGCACTTCAGAAGAGAGTAAGTGACTGTGCAATTAAGTCAGTAATGTTACTTTAGAAAAAGAAGTTGGGGGCGGGGGAGCCCTTCCCTGGTGGCTCAGAAAGTAAAGAATCAGCCTGCAATGCAGGAGATGTGGGTCCCATCCCTGGGTCGGGAAGATCCCCTGGAGAAGGAAATGGCAACCCACTCCAGTATTCTTGCCTGGGAAATGCCATGGACACAGGAGCTTGGCGGGCTACAGCCCATGTTACTAAAAAGTTAATTAGCTTCTTTCCTGATTAAGAGACATATACAGACAGACAGACGTTGTTCTCCATGGAAATAAAGAGAGATAAACATATAGGTCACCAGATGCTTCTGTGTATCCAAATACAGTCACGTGTGTCCGGAGAAACAACTCTCAACTTGGAATAAACTATAACTTCCCAACTTCACTGTATTGCTTTAAGAAGATTTCTTTGAGGGGAAAAAAGATGCTCTTCATCGGGAGGCCAGGTGGGACAGTGCTCCAGGACCCAGTGCCTCCTGGGTCCGAAAGACTCCAAACTCAGGTTGTTCCCGCCAGAAAGCAGAAAGCATGCCCTGTGTACGCCGCACTGCTGGCTGCCAGCGCTCCTGACCCCTCACCACAGGGCACTCCACACCTGGACACAGCTGAAGGTGCAGGAGTGAGTAAACTGCCAGCATGACTGAAGACTGTGTATTTATGAATTTACAGCCTCTCTATTAACCTCTCTACGCTACGTTATCTAGTGGGCTACTGAGTTCCGGGGAAAACATTCCAGTATTTTCACCAACCTTACTGTACATGCAAGACGCATGATCGAAAACTGTCATCTAATTATTCAAAACATACGCATTCGGTTCATCAGAACTCAAGGATGTTCATCCCACACGTGTCACTCAGAATGCTGTTGCCCATCATCACCTGATTGCTCTGCTGTGACTCTGAGTCAACCAGAGACGGTGAGTGGTATTTTTTGTTTTGCTTCCTTTTGGCTGCACTGGGTTCGAAGCTGTGCCTCTTGCATTGGAAGCGCAGAGTCCCAACCATTGGACCACCAGGAAATTCACACCCATGAGCAGTTTTGCTGGCTAGCAGCACTTAATCGCATTGCTAAGTTTATTGGGATAGACCACAGGGTAGGATTGAAAGGGCCTTGCAAGAAAGAATAAGTAGTTTATGTCGAGGATTCAAGAGTAAGAAGAACTGAGTCTCAGAGAAGTTAAATGTATCCAATGGTACACACATACAGAGCTGAGTAGTGAAAGAGAGACCAGAATTCTAAACCAACTTGAACAGTAAGTAGCCAACGAGCCTCGGAAAGGTCGTTTTGTGATTTGGCATTAGCCTCCTCACCAGAAAAGCTATAAACGACCAGACTTATGGTCTTTCGACTCTATAAATTCCATGTCTAAAATCTTTTCCTTATTCCTAGATCTCACTGCTGGGTATCACGTAGGTCCTAACAAAATGAGGCTTAGCCATCATTGAAAAGTCACATCATTCCATTTTATCCTTGTATCAAGAGTAAGAAGTTGAAACATAAAATTCAATAATTACCAAAAGCCTGATAATACCACTGCAGGGAGGCATCTTAAGGAAACAATGAAAGACTTCATTACCAAACTAGTTCTAATGGCAAAAAACTGCAAACAACCTAGATGCCCACCAGAGGACTAGCTACATAGACTGTGGTAGGGATGACATACTAGAGACAGATTACTAATAAAATAAATACAGCTAATGGAAAGACAACCTGCATAATTCTACAGAATGATCTTTGGCATTTTAAATGTTGTAATGATGACCTATATGGGGAAAAATCTAAAGACTGGATATATGTATATGCATAACTGATTCCCTGGTGGTTACCTGGCTTGTAGCTACCAGGTAGCTGCTGCTGCTGCTAAGTCGCGTCAGTCGTGTCCGACTCTGTGAGACCCCATAGATGGCAGCCCACCAGGCTCCCCCGTCCCTGGGATTCTCCAGGCAAGAACACTGGAGTGGTTGCCATTTCCTTCTCCAGTGCATGAAAGTGAAAAGTGAAAGTGA